CTCTGAATGGTACATGTCAAAATTTTAAATGGTACCCAGTTATAAACCTTAGTGAAATACAAGAAGAATTCTTAATCGTTCATCTCTCAAATAAGAGTAGTTTCCTGGAAGTGTAATTAGGAATGTTCTGCATATTCTTTAAGGCATTCCCATAGCCTAGCAGCTGTTAAGTGTCATGTCTTCAATCCTGGAGCATTTCAAAATTTTCTGAAAATCAAAACAAGTTCTCTCTTTGACAGTGAAATTCACCACTACTTGCATATTTCACTAAGTGCTGAAATAGATCATAAATGCTAAAAACTGATCGTGTTTTGCAGTTTAATTTATAATGTTTGTATGTAACATGTAAGGTTATATTAGTGAAAATGAATGGTCTTAATATTTGATGTGGCTGATGCAAACCTATTACTGCTCTTCCCACCAGCATGTTCTAAATTCTTTGCCACAAGCTCATTTTCAGATTGCTGAGGCCATTGTTACCTCTTCAGAACAATTGTAGTAGGAGTGATGTGTGTATTGGGCGACACTGTCAAAGCTGACTAGTCATTTTATTTTGGGTGCTCACTTTTTGCACACCCAACTTGGGATACCTGAAAGGGTCTGATTTTCAGAAAGTGCTGAACACCTGCACCCTGCTCTTTCTAGTGTCTCAGTTGGGGTATCCAAAAGTTAAAGCACTCAGAATAACTGCAAAAAAATCTATTACAGACCCGCTCCCTGCATCATAAAAGTGCAGTCATGATATGGCCCTCAATAGAGGATATGTCCTAGACAGACTGATACTGCACTTAATCTTCCAGTTTGATTCTTATGTGATGAGCTCTTTCCTCCCTCAATTTTATGCAAAAATCCCACTAGTGCCAGTAGAAAATCTGTCAGGAGAACTTAAGGTAGACTAAAGCCTGAGATGCTTTTGCCCAATACATCTCCTTGAATAACAGGTATTTGTGACTTGGAAATCCAAGTTCACTACCTAGCTTTGAGCCCAACTGTGACTGGTCTCTGCATAGGGGCACAAGGTGGATCAGAGAGCACAAGAAGCTCCAGTGAAAGGGACAGCCATAATTGTGGTTCCTCCTAGAGCCCATAGGCAGTGCAGCATGATCCACCACCACCAGCAGAAGCAGCCAGGCACAGAGGAGGAAACGTGCTGCACCATCCATTGGGATTATACAGCAGGCATGCTCCCCCATTTGCCTTGGAGCTCTGGGAATGACTGGTTTCTTTCCACCCCTGGAGTGGTGCAGTTCCTCACCACCTCTTGCACTAGCTAGTGGCTAATGCCACAATTGAGTCCTTTGCTGTTGATAGGATTAATGTAACAGTGGTCCCTACTAACACAAAGGCTGATGGCTGTTTGGACATTGTGATGAAAAATGCACCGAGTTAAATTTACATTTCTCCACAATGCTTTGAGGAACACAAAGAGTGAAACACAACTCACTAAGAAAGGACCAGAGGAAATTCACTTTCATGACATTTAGCTTCATATTACATGTTGGCTCTCTAAGCCTTTTAATGACATTAGGAATAAATAAAACAGGGATGATTTGAGCCAGAATGCTTTGGTGGTTGAAAATAATTAGTCTTCTTTACAGCCTTTGGAATCATCCTCTTCAATTCAGAAGACATACCAGTGTACCGAGATTTTAATTAGATGGCAGGCAAGCTGCTTCAGAACCAAAATAAGCTGCCAAGCCCAATTATGCAGGCTGAAAGAATACAGCACAATATATTACAGGGATTTTCTTTTTACAAAGCAAGATATGCAATGTAAACCCTCTAACAGAGCTTAGATGGCTAGCAGAGAAAGTACAAAGCTTAGCTTTAAATATACATTTAAATAACAGGATTTCAATTTATAATTGCTCTCCAGAGCAGATCTGCCTCTTAGCAAACAACAGTATGAAACCTCTTTCACCACCACCCTCCTTGTCTCTGTCCTCATAGTGGGAATGAACTTTAACTAGGGGTAAGCCTCAGAAAAATGCATTTCAAAGAGTGACTTAGCTATAAAAGTGAGGGGCAAAACCACCCCAAGTTCTCTCTCCCTACCCATCTCTCTCATCTCCTAAGCAGACAAAGGAAACAGCTATTGGACTTTGGGAGCAGATCCTGGCCTGAGAGTTTGGTCAGCAATGTTACTGGAAACATGTGGTAAGGGACTTCACGTTAAACCAAGTCTAGTTTAAGTTTAGAAGGCAGTTTATCTTTATTTTTCTTGTAACCATTTCTGACTATAATGCCTCATCACTTGTACTCAGCACTGTATTATTGCCTAGACCGACAAATTTTCAGGGGCGGAAGCTCCCCTCTGCGCCCGCCCCCCTGCTCCAGCTCACCTCCGCCTCTTCTGCAAGCGTGCCATGGCGTCCTGTATCTCTCCCTTCCCAGTGCTTGCGCCGTGAAACAGCTGTTTCGCGGGGCAGGGAGGGAGGGGGGAGGAGGGGGCATGCCACGTGTTGGGGGAAGAGGCAGGGCTGGGGGCGGGGATTTGGGGAAGGGATCCAATAGGGGAAGGGAGGGGGCGGAGTTGGGGGCA